CTTGGTCCCTGGGTGGCTGCAATGCAGCCGCAGCCTCAGCAGCCCTATGACATGAGTGGGATATTTTTTTCTGTAAAGTGGAAGCCTCTTTTCCTTCTAATCACAGACCATTCTGTGCCTACAGAATACTTTCATGTCTATCATCTTATTTAATCCTCAGGAGGTGGGAAATGTGTTCTCATTTAATAGATATGTAGCTGAGGAATGAAACTTGTTCACCATCATCCCACAAGTTAAATAGCAGAGTCAGGACAAGAACTTGGGCCTCATTGGTTGGCCTAATGGTGGTCCCATCGAAAATTCTACCATGAAAGGGGTGAAATGTGTGCAGTGTTCAAGTGCTGGCTCCTGGCTTTCTGTGCTGTGACCTTAACCACCTAGTGCCTCAATTTTTCCCTCTGTAACATCAGGCCTTTCCTTTCTTCTCCTCTTTCGATGCAGGCCTGGGTTGCCAACTATGAGAGACCCCGAATGAACGCCAACTCCCTGCTGGCCAGCCCCACAGGCCTCAGCCCCTACCTGCGCTTTGGCTGCCTCTCCTGCCGCCTCTTCTACTACCGCCTGTGGGACCTGTATAAAAAGGTGAGCACTCAGTGAGGGCAGCCCGTCCACTCCCAGTTGCAGCCGCTTGGATCAGGGCCTTCCAGGCCATTCAGTCACCCTAGAAAGGGGCCTTGCCTCTGGTCCTGGGGGTGGGGACTGGGTTGTGGATCCTGGAGGTGCTTACGTGAGCCTTGTGTCAGAGAAGGTGGGGAAGAGTCCGCATTCAAGAACCTGCGGAGCTGAACACAACCCAGACTGCTGATCCACATAAAATCAGGCTACCAGCTAGTACAGGACAGGCAGGAAGCCAACCGCAGTGTGTCCGTAGAGGTGGCAGATCTGCTGGCAGCAGGTGGACAGGGGCGAGCAGGGGGCAGGGGGAGGCAGGAGGGCGAGGCTGGAGCCCATCCTCAGCCTAAGAGCACAGTGGCCCTCTTGGGCTTGTGTCCAGAGCATCAAAAAGGCAAGTTCAGGAGTGGCTACTGCCCATCAGTGATGAGATGGCCTGGAGGGCTGCATGCAGGGTGTGCCATACAGACCGTAGGCAGATCCTGTGGTAGTGCCCCCGGACAGAGAGTGGGCAGCACAGCAGCTGTTCAGCATCTGCATTGTTTCACATTGCCCCGTGCTGGCCAATAGCAGGATTCTGTGGCACAGGGTGGCTTTGATGGTTTAGGGGGTAATCTGGTTTTATGAAAATCATGATTTGCTTGGAGGTCTGATCTTCTCATTTCCTCATTGCCCCAGATCCAGGCTATTATATATATAACTTATGTAACCAAAATCTAGACTGAGCAGTTTTTATACGTGGTGATGAGAAAGTCCCTTTGACATTCTAAAAAGAAGAGCCACACAGGGGCCCCTGAGGATGAGGATTATGAGCCAGTCTGGGGAGTTTGGTTCCCAGAGCGGAGTTCGGCAGTGATATCCTTTTCCCCTGCCCACCTGTACGCAGCCATTCTCATTGCTCAGAGCAGAGCACAGCCGGGCCTGGGTTCAGCCAGTGGGCACACTGTGTGCATCACAAGCATGTCAAACTCGAGGCCCGCCGGTTGACCTGCTTGGGAGGGGATAGTCCCTCACATGTCTAGGGAGTTTGGAGCAACCAGGTTCATGGTAGCTCCAAATTCCTTTGTGGGAGAGGTCTGGGGACATGTGATGAGAGCTGGGCAAGCATTTATGTCCCCGGCTCCTCCCACCCCAGGTGAAGCGGAACAGCTCACCCCCCCTCTCCCTGTTTGGGCAACTCCTGTGGCGAGAGTTTTTCTACACAGCAGCCACCAACAACCCCAGGTTTGACCGCATGGAGGGGAACCCCATCTGCATCCAGATCCCCTGGGACCACAACCCTGAGGCCCTGGCCAAGTGGGCCGAGGGCAAGACAGGTTTCCCTTGGATTGATGCCATCATGACCCAGCTGAGGCAGGAGGGCTGGATCCACCACCTGGCCCGGCACGCCGTGGCCTGCTTCCTCACCCGCGGGGACCTCTGGGTCAGCTGGGAGAGCGGGGTCCGGGTGAGTGCCTTTCTGTGGGGCCCGGCCAAGGGCAGCCCCCTCTGGGCTCGGGGATGGGGTGGGATCCCTGGGTCCAGGATATCCCCTCCAAGTCCTCCTTGCAGGTGCAGAGGGCTTAGATGGGGCTGTCCAGCAGAAGGGCTTTGGCTCTTCTCCAGGGGGCATGTGTTGGCTTGGGGAGAACCATGGCAGTCGGTACCCAGGTCGGCTGAAGTCCCACCTGCCCATCTAGGTGTTTGATGAGCTGCTCCTGGACGCAGACTTCAGCGTGAACGCGGGCAGCTGGATGTGGCTGTCCTGCAGCGCCTTCTTCCAGCAGTTCTTCCACTGCTACTGCCCTGTGGGCTTTGGCCGCCGCACGGACCCCAGTGGCGACTACATCAGGTGAGGATGTAGACCAGCTCTCTGGCCACTGGCCACTGTGGCCTTCTAGGATGGGATACCCTTGACCCTTTGACGGAGGGTCTGGTGTTCTGATGGGTTCTCTGGTGTGTGTGTTTCAGGCGATACCTGCCCAAATTGAAGGGGTTCCCCTCTCGATATATCTATGAGCCCTGGAATGCCCCCGAGTCTATCCAGAAGGCAGCCAAGTGTATCATCGGTGTGGACTACCCACGTCCCATCGTCAACCATGCCGAGACCAGCCGGCTCAACATTGAGCGAATGAAGCAGATTTACCAGCAGCTGTCTCGCTACCGGGGACTCTGTAAGGAGGCCCTACTCCCCTGCCAGCCCCCAGGTCACTGGAAGGAAGGGCAGCACCTGCAGGCTGGGGGGCCAAGGGAGGGATTTCCAGATACTTGTCCAGGGAGACTGAGTGCTGTCTTCCAGGCTGTTACATTGACTGCAGCTGGGCTGGATCAGGCCTCTGAGTAGTCAGGGGAGAGATGGAACCTCAGTGTCATGGCCCAGAACCCCCCTCCTTGTTTTCACCCCTGCAGCTCTCTGCAGTCCTGTGAGAGTGTATTTTGATGGCTCCCCTGCCTCTCCCAGGTCTGCTGGCATCTGTCCCGTCCTGCATGGAAGACCTCAGCAACCCGGTGGCAGAGCCCAGCTCGAGCCAGACCGGGAGCATGAGCAGTGCAGGTGAGTAGCAGCTGGCCTGTTGCGGCCTTGCCCATTCCGAGGGCACTCAGGACCACCACCAGCTCCCGTCACTGAGGGCTGATGACAAAGGCCAGAATGAATCTGTGCCCCAGTGGAGCTTCTAGTGCCCCTGGGGCAGACAGAGTAAAGGGCCATGCAGATCATCTCAGATATCAGTGCTTCTGGGAAAAGGAAATTGAGTGACCTGGGGCAGGAGGGTTACTGTGGGTTAGCTTAGAGCGGAGTAATCAGGGAGCACATCTCTGAATAGGGATCAAGTAGTGAGCAGGGCCAGCCTTTCCAAGAACAGAGAAGAGCATTCCCAGAAAAGGGAAAAGCAAGAAATAGGAACAAGATAGGAACAAGCTTAGTCCATTCAAGAAACAAAGGTAGGGAGGCCAGTGCGGCTGGCATGTCCTCAGTGAGGAGCTGGAATGAGAGAGAGGAGGATGAGATGTAGCAGGAGCAGCATTGTGTAGGCTTGGTGTCCACGAGGGGCATTCGGATTCTGTCATCAACACACTGAGAAGGCACTGACAGATGGTCAGCAGGGTGGGGTGTGATCTGATTTATGTTCTACAAAGCACATTCTGCCTGCTCTGTGGCGGGACAGTGTGGGCAGGAGCGAGTACAGGGAGGCTAGACGGCAGGCGACGGCAGCATGGCCCAGTGGTGCCAGGAGAGGAGAGAAGTAGACAGACTTGCCGCATTCTTATCTTCCTCCCTGGGCTCTGGGGTGAAGATCCATGAGGTGAGATTGGCAAGAACTCCAGGGCCTTTTCTAGTTGGCTCAGCAAGGCTGGGCCAGGGCACTG